CCACGTGCGGGGAGCCGCTCACCCGCACACGAGGCATCGAAGTGGGGCACACGTTCTACCTGGGCACCAAGTACTCCTCGGTGTTCAACGCTACCTTCCTCACCCCCGAGAACAAGCTGCAGCTGGCAGAGATGGGCTGCTACGGCCTGGGGGTCACTCGCATCCTGGCGGCCGCCGTGGAGGTGCTTTCCACGGAGGACAGCATCCGCTGGCCCAGCCTCATTGCCCCCTACCAGGTGTGCTTCATTCCCCCCAAGAAGGGCAGCAGGGAGGAGGAGGGAGCCGCGCTCCTGGAGCGCCTCTACGACGACGTGGCTGAAGCTGCGCCGCAGCTCGCCGACGACCTGGTGCTGGATGACCGGACTCAGCTGACCATTGGCAAAAGACTAAAAGACGCCAACAGGCTGGGCTACCCGTACGTGGTAGTAGCCGGGAAGAAGGCTTGTGACAATCCTGCTGTGTTTGAGGTTTGGAGTCAAAACGCTGGCGAGGTCACGTTCCTCACCAGGGAGGGTGTCATTGACTTGCTGAGTAAAGTGCGGGTTTCTTAAAGTCCGAATCTGTGGTGCTCTGCGCTGCTCTGCATGTACCTAAATAGCCCCAGGTCTCCTCGGGGACTCACAGGAGCTGTGTGTGCCCTCCAGGCACTTGTGCCCTTGGCTACCACTGCACAGGGTGGGTAGCTGGCGCCTCCCCCACCGAATGCACCGCGCAGCAGAGGCAGCTGCACCGGAGACGGGAGGGTTTTCCTGCAGGCCGAATGCTGGATTTTAAGAGGGAGGGAAAATGAGCTCTTTTCTGGTGATTGTGAGCGCTGTTTTCACTGTGACGATGCCTTGGCAGATGAATCTGCAGGAAATAAAATGAGGAGAGGTGTTGGGCACCTCCAGCGCAGTCTGCAGCTGGGGAGACGACAGTAGCTGCTGGGGATGGGTTGATGCTGTGGGGGTGGCAGCTGGAAAGCAGGGGGGTCTCCTTGGGGCTCCCCTGGAGCGGGCAGCTCCCGGCAGCTCCCTGTGCTCCGGGCAGGCTCCGGGGTAACAGAGCGCTTAGCAGGGCTCCCAGGCGTACGGCGGAGCGTGGAGCTGCAGCATGCGGGATACGAGGGTCGAGGTGCGGAGGAGCGATGCGCGTGGGCAGCGGGCTGGCTGCGGCGGGGAGCTGCGGCACGCAGCCTCCACAGCGGAACGGCGGCCTTCCAGCAAATAGCTGTGACGTGTGTGAGGTCACGCTTGTGCCCAGGGCATGGAACAGGCTCCAGCGGAGCGCGGCGCCCGGCTGGGTGTGCTGCGAGGCCGGGACATGGAGGGGCAGCACCAGCGAGCCCAGCACGTGCAGCCCGGCATGCCCGAGTCACAGCCAGGGCAGAGGAGCGGGCACTGAGCACCCAGGCGGGCAGCTGGAGCCCCAGTGCCCTCCCAGCTGGGGAGCCCCTTCAGCGAGGCACAGCCGGCAGCCGCCCTTCGGATCCCCTTCGGACACCACAGCGGGAGTGCAGGCAGCGGAGCAGGCAGGATCTAGGGAGTGGACGGACGCTAGTGGGGAAGGGGGAGTCCCTTTAACGCCTTGCTCAGGTGGTGCCTGCGGCTCTGCACGGTGTCACAAGGGAAGCTGGGCTCTAGTGGGAGCTATTTCCCCCCTGCATAAGGTGGCTCCGTGGCTGGGGAAGGAAATGGACAGCAGAGCCGGCAGTGCAGCCCAGGACTCTGCCTATCACTGCAGCCAGAAGCTCACGCAGATCCGCCAGGTCCTGGTAAGCTCTGGGGGGGATTCCTTCAGGGGGATGGGGTTTCAAGGACGGACAGAGGGTCACGGAGAGAGCTCGGACACATCTCCAGCTATTACAAAGCAATTGCTGCTGCTTGCAAGCAGAGGTGGTCACCAAATATTTGGAGGCACTGGGCCTGTGTCAGTGCTCTGAGGAACACAGTTTCATGCCTCACACTGGACACTGTGAAGGAGAGGGAGCTCCAGTGAGTGTCCGAGCGAGGAGGTGCCATCTCCAATGCTGGTCTCCCACGGGCTTGCAGGAGCACCTGAACAGCCTGCCCCCGGGCTCGTGGGATGTCTCCACAAACAGGGCGCGCTGCCGAGGACTCCTGCTCATCGCCAGTCTCAGGTACCCAACACGCCCGGCAGTGATGCTGTGGCTGTCAGGCCTTTCTCAAAGCGTGGAGGGGGACCCAGCCACACCACGTGGAAAGGACTGCACACATGGCTGCTTGGGCATGATGGCTCCAGGCCTGCGGCCAAGCTCGTGGTGTTCTGCATGGATCTGATCCTTCCTCATTGCGATGCATCCGAGGGCTCTGCTCTGGGTTTGGCCACTGCACCATGCAGGACACCATGGGTACCACCGTGACTTGGGCTTGTCCTGAGCCCCTCGGGCATGGGGCTGAGCCCTGTCCGTGTCCCCTGCAAGGCCAAGCACCTTCCACACCTCTTCATCCGAAGGCTGTCCGACCGGAGCTCCCTTCCCTCGCAGCCAAACGCAGCCGCTCTTGGAGACGAAGGAGAAGGCGGCAGTGGTCACCACCTGCCTGGCCAGCACCCTCGCCCTCCCCTCAGCCGAGACCCTGGTGGAGGCCGACGTGACTGGTGCCCAGGTGACTGCCTGCCCACATGTGGAGGTCTGGCCCTTCTTCCCCAGCGCAGGAGCAGGGATTTGAGTTAAAGCCCTCCGGAGACCTTCCTCCATCCCGCCTGTGCAGCGAGTGCAGGAGCGCGGGGCTGCGCTGTGTCCGAGCACGCTGCCATCATGGTTGTCAGACACCCCATACCTGCAGCAAACGTACTGGGGAAGCGTCTGGCTGCAGGTGGTCCTTAGGGTCCCCTTCAGCCTTGCTCTGACCTTGCAGAAGTGGTTGCTGGGCCAAGGAGAAACACTCCATGCCCAGCATTGCAGCCCCTTTCTCCCAGGCTTGAGATGAGAACTTCTGCATCTCGTCATCCATGGGAGTAGCGCTGGCTGTGCTCTCCCAAGCCTTCCTTGGCTCTGGAAAACGCCGTTTTCCCTCCTCAGCGTGCACAGACCGAGCTGATGGAGGCGCTGGGGCGGCTGCTGCCCGGCCTGCTGCTGGAGAAGGCCACCCCCGCCGAGCTGCAGGGCCTCCTGGACGTAAGCAGCGCCCGCGCAGGGCCTCGCGAGCGGCATGCGAAGGCGTGCGAGGACCTGGGAGGGCTCTGCGCCCATAACTGCACTGTGGAGCTTGTGCCCTATTGCCCCTGCCTTAGCTGTGAGTCACGGGCGTTTGCCCCAGCCCTGGAAGGCCTGAGCGCAAGCAGGAAGATGGGCACCTTTCCCAGCGGGGTGGTGGGACCCGGCGCGCAAGGTGTTGCTGGTTGTGTCAGGGCGCTAGCACAGCCTGCCCTGCTCCCCTGGCAGCACGTAGACCCATGGATGGCATCGGAGAAGGTCCACGAGCGCGCAAGAGCCGTGAGCACCACGCTCGGCTTGCTGAAATCCGCAGCCAGCTCCCCCCGGTTCCACGTGAGCGATCCTCGGTGGCGGGAAGGCTCCTCGTGGCTCTGTTAGGAGAGCACTGTCCCCACTGCCGCCCTGCTCTTGGTTTCGCCAGACACGGCCCGAGTTTCCGCGGCCGGGGCTCCTGGCGGGGCGGCTGCTCGCGTGCGTGGGGGCGCCCGGCGCGGCCGTCAGCAGGGAGGCTCTGCAGGGCCTGCAGGTCCTGCGCTGGCTCGTGCAGCGCGGAGGCTTCCTCCCCCAAGGAGGAAACATTCGCACTTGTTTTAAGCTTCTGTAGATGGGTTACGGCATTTGAAAGCTCTCTTGGGGGGCTCGTGCAGTTTGCTGTGAGGATGCACTAAGCAGGGCCGGCTGGGGAAGGATGCAGGGATGCTCCCTGTGTTTGCCATGGAAGTGGTGCTGCCCACCCGTCATGGCTGTGGGCAAGTGGATCACGAAGCGCAGAGTGACTCATCTTTGCTTCCTAGTGCCTGGCACCAAGATTCTCTGGGGAAAAGCAGAGCAAGAGCAGGAGGAGAACCTGGATTTACTGGAGTCCCCTGAGACACACACCAAATTCCTGGAAATAATCAAGGTAAATCCTGCCTCGTGGCTGGGAGGAAGCGGCTTCCTGCAGCCTCACCTGGACCACATCTCCCCTCGGGCACTGCTGCAGATGTGGAGACTTGGCCAAAGCCAGGTGCCCGGGGCACCATGAGGGAGCAGCACTTTGAGTGCTCCCCCAGCTCCCAGGCATCTGTGGCTCAGGGACTCCCTCAGGTGGCCTGGGTTGCTTTCATCTTTCCCCTTAAACTTCTCTTCCTCAAACACATCTATGATCCTACCTGGATCCATGTGAGCTGTGAGCTTCTGCAGCATCCCACAGCAAGGAGATACTTTGAGCATGGCCCAACTGGGGGATGTTCCACAGTTCCTATGCTGGAAACAGAAGCCTGGTAGCTGCCCAGTCGCACTGTTACAGCTCAGCTGCCTTGGGCTCGGCCAATTGCTTGTTTTGTTTCTTCTCTCGTCAGGACCTGGGGCAGCTTCTCACCCCTGATCAGTTGACAGATCTTATACTGACGGTTACGGGGAGCCTGAAGGAAGCCAGTGAGAGCAGCATTGAGGCATCAAAAGCTGCCCTGACTTTAATCCTGAACAAGTATAAACACGGGCTGCAAGCAAAGGTAACTAATGGATGTGAGGGAAGGTTTAGAAGTACCAGAATTGGGATGCTTTCATTGCGTGTTGTGTTGATATTGCCTGCAATGCGGACTGTAAGAAAATGGGTAGGAAATCTGGAGATAACTGCAGAGCCTCCGCAGCGCACAGAGGACGTCACCTCCGTGGTTCCCTCCTAGGTGCCCACGCTTGTGTTTGGTTTCTACCAGCACCTCGGGAGCCTCCAGCGCTCCCGAGCTCGGCACGCTGTCCTGACCTGGCTGTTCCTGCTGGCTCACGCTTTCATGGAGGAGGCCACCACGGCCCTCCTGAGCTTCCAGCTGCCCCTGGACAAGTACGGGGGTCTCTGCTCTTGTGCACCTTGCTGCTTCTGCCCTCTCGGTAGTCTCCTAGCACGGCCATGTAGCAAATGCTTCCCTTACCACAGCGGTTTGCAGGCTCATGGCTAGTCCTTCATGCTCCTTTTCAGCACCTTCTCCACTGCCTTCCCAATATCAAGGATTTCAAGTTTTTGCCAACACCCTGTAGGGCCAGACTGGACCGACCAGTGTGTCTACACCACTTCAGGGGGGTGGCTGGAGCATTTGTCCCCCCACCTCTCCAAGCCCAGATGGGCCAAGGGAGACTATCTACAGATGGAACAGGGTCTGGTGGCACAGGACCCCCATCGTGTGTGTGGGCACCAAGTTTGCTCTAGCCTGGTGCCCGAGCTGGTGTCAGGATCTGCTGTATGGATAGAGCACTCTCCAGTGGTGGTTGTGGGGCTGTTGCAGGGGCACCGTGAGTGCCCGTTTGTGGTGACCTTCCCGATGCTGCAGGGATGCTGCCGCGATGTGGAGGGCTCTCATCAAGGCCAGGGTGGTCCCTGACACCCAGCGCCTCATGAACATCCTGCTGCGGAGGCTGCGGGAGCAGCCCGGCACCGACGGGGAGAAAGCGTCCACAGCGCCCATTGCCGTAAGGAGCCTTCGGACCTTCCCGCTCCCAGGAGCAGAGCGGGAGGCCTGAGAGCGGAGAATCTGGCCCAGTGATTCCTGCAGGAGGGAGGCAGGACAGCGCTCCTCTGGAACCGCTGCCCCTCTCCATCTGTGCGCCCTGTTCCCATGGAATGCTGTGCCCCACCTGGTGCCTTTTGCTCCCCACGGCTCTACCCACCAGCCGGTCCTTTCCCATCCTTGGAGACCATGCCCTGAGTGTCCAGCCTTCCCTTTTCCACGCGAGGGCTGACGGTGAAGGGATTTCAGGATTGCACACGTGTGCTTCCCCCCCGCAGGCAGCCAGCGCCGTGTGCGAGGTGCTCTCCGTGC